GGAGGCGAGAGGAGTGCAGGGCAGGGCAGAGCAGGACAGGGCAGGGGAGAGGCAGGCCGGTGGGTGCCGGCACGACAGGAACGAGGCGCAAGGGCGCTTAGGCGCAGTCCAGACCGAGTGCAGGCAGGGGTGGGTGGACAGTTGGCCTGGGGCAGAGCACTAATAGTTCTGCTGTTTACTCGTCCTCGACCGAAAGGGGACTAAGCTCGTCTTGCTTCCTCCACTCAAGCGTGGTCAAAGACTCCGCTTTTCGCCTAGTCGGCCTTGGCATGGTCGCTGGCGTGGTTGCTAAGGTTCGCCGGTAATTTCCCCCATTCCGGCCATCGGGCCTATCACGCGTCGACGGTGCCTGACTTGGCCCATTCTTTGGCCAACTAAACCCTTCATCATTCGCTGCCCACCCCTATGCAAAAAAAAAGACTAAACTTGCCAGGTTACCTACGCTAGCTAAATCGGTTTTTCTTCTTGCTTGCTTGTCAGCGCTTCCCCTCTTTTGTCTTCCTTTTTTTAGGTCACCTTTGCGCTCCCCCCTGAAAGCGAAAACCAACAAGGTCTCAGTGCCCCAAGGACCACAAGGCTAGCTAGCTAGCTGGCAGTAGCATGTACAATAGGGAGGGGTAAGACAATCTATCGACTATCTAAACTATCTACTTTGTCTCCGGAACGGAGGACCCTTTGTCGGCTTATTGAGAAGCCATCGTGGCGTCGCTTCTATTTTAACTTCTTCATATCTCCGTCGACGGAATGGAGGAATGACGTTTTGGTTCGCCAAGCAACATCTTGCCAACCTGTTTGTTGGTAAGTTCGGAAAGTGATTTTGACGGTGGAGAAAACAGCCGGTAGCCCGGAAAAACATCCAAACAAAGCAAAGCTCTGCTGGCACCAGCAAAAGACAACAACGTAATGGAGTAGTACTCAGCAGTCAGCCGTTCGTCTCACCACATGTGGTGAGGATGATCATGCATCTGCTGATTCTACTGTAAGATCTTACGGGGCGACCTGAGGTGTGTCTCTTTCACATGACATGAGAAACAACCTGTCATGTGCTAGTCAACTAATGCAGGGTCCATCTGTCAGTGATGGTGAAACACAACGGACGGTTAGGCACCTCCGTATTCCATACTCTGACAGCGGCCTATCTATATTCTGGATAGCCGGGACAGGTCTATCTTGCTATGGAAACTATCACTATCAGTATGTTGAGATATATCGTACTAGAGTATGTGGCGGAGGAAGAACTTGAAATAGACCACCATAACCCCCTTGGCTTGTTGTATCTGAGGTAACCACCCGCCCCATCCCAGTTAAAATATATTCAGCGGAAAGGACTACCGTATTTGGTCAAGATGAGTCCTCAACTGCTGACAGCCATGGAATTCCACTATAACTTCATATGTATATAGTTGTATAGTTTACACAGGTCAGGAAGTCATTGCACGTACCGTGCCTCTAGTGTCACTACTACTTTCCAATAAACATGACTCCAAAATATAAATCCCCGAAAACAAGGCTAACCACGACATCATCTCTCCATACGCACTCCTAAGCCATCCCCTAAAGTCCCCCAAGACTATCAATCAAGCCCGTCACCCAGCATCGGAAAATAAAACAAACCCCACAGTAACGGCCACCTACCTGTATCTAGAACTGAAACAACATACATAATATGTCTAAGATCACTCAATCAGCCATGCCGTTACTAAATATAAAACAAGCACTCCTTGGCCGAACCCTACGCTCGCCACATTCCTGAAAGCGTCCTCCCGCCCCACCCACTTCTCTCTCTCTCTCCTGCAGAATACCAAGGTCACGTCACAGTCGCAGCATCAGGTATCTGGTATCTCTGGTGACCTTGGTATGTCGATCGTACATTTGGGTAGGTCTAGATGATATAGCAAGGGGATACATCCATGTTGTGATCTTTGCGTGCCGGTTGCTGTGACTATTGTAGAGAGATGGATTTTGGAATGGGTCTATCTTTAGGCTGGTTGGTTCCATATGATCTTGTGGAATGGTTCTCCGGACATGTGGGATTTGACAGGGACAGGTATTTTATCTGTCAGATTGTTGCTGTGCGGGTGTCAGGGAGGTTATGTGGGCTTATTGCTTCATTCTTTAGTAAAATTGGCTTCCATCAGCTGTCGAGGGGATACAATTTGATCCTGGGGAACAGATGAGGTCTAGATACTATATACTAGTATGGGATATTTGCCAAGCTCCTGCTCAGGAAGGTGGCATATCACGATAGTAGTTTGAATTAATCTTCGGACTACTTCTGCATATATACTTACTTGTATGTTTAATTTCTACAAGACATACAATACTACCTCGTGCCAAATTAATTGGGGTTCTTGAAGTGCCCCTATCGTTGGTCTATTCCGGTGTTTAATTTAGACGTACAAACACTTAGTAGCCCGGCTTAACGCTAGTCCTCGACAAGTTATGGAGATGAATGACGCTGCGCATTCTTTATCATTTAGCTTATGTCTTTTCTTGCTGGTATATTTCACCGGATCCTTCATCACTCTACAACACAACAGATACTCCGACGACATTCTATTGTTGACCTTTTAACAATATCTTGAATGGATGTAAACCACCGCCAAAACAACATCAGTACTGGGGAGTAGTAGTAGCAGGCCGCTGCGGTGAGATATATATTGACGATCTTGGTACTAGTAAAAAACTCGAATATACTTCTGGTATGACTAGCTCTTCAAATTTGCATGGATTTTCAAGTAGACAATATCTCCAAGTTTACGAGTACTAGGTTTACATGTTGAGATTGAGTATCAAGATGAACTAAGGTGCAAGCACCGGTTTATCCTGGGGCTGCAGTAGCTCAGCTACTGAATTGGGGTACTGAATATATAGATCTACTCTGTGATCATTTCCATCCAGCGTTCTAAGAACCTTCTGTCCCATTGCAGTCGAGACACACTACTATTTGGAAGAATATAAGAAAAATATATACCCTCAACTGGAGAACACCATATCAATCTATTCTCTTATAAAAAAATATAATTGTATGTGAAGAGTCCCCCGTTTTGAGTATAGCTGGAGTATTGTTGTATATACTAACGACTTCAGTTCCCTTGTCGTAGAGCAGAAGTTGATCGTGTCTTGTCAGAACAACATCCTGTAGGTCATGAAACGGCCTGATACTGATCCAAACACTGTTACATACTTGATCACATACTGTGAACTAACGAGTGAAGTACCACATCAAGGCTCCTGCACATTGGTCCACATGTTGTCCCTCGTATGCCAGAAGCTTGAAGAAAATCGTGTCTATAAGGTATTGTCACAAATGTTTGGCATAATCATATATCGTCCAGATGAGCGTATTGAACCAGAAAGTGGCAATCAATCCTCTCACAACGATTTTAGCCTTTGATGAACGATACTACATTATGCTATCATGATAGAGAAGTCTGGTTGATATACCTCCTAAGTACCCGCTGTTAAATGCTGGTTATGTCAACTGGCTTAAAGTGAGCATCGTTGCCATTGCGCATAAAGAGTCCATCCATGTAATACTGTTTACTAGACCAGAGGCCAGACACTGGTATCTTATATGCAGAAACGATGCAGAAATCGCGTAGTCTGAGGAACAGGCTGACTTGTTTTATCAAGTCTCTTTGTTGGGAGGCGGCTACTCTAAGACTCTTTGAAGACTCGTTAGCACGATCAGAGCCTGTTGAATAGATATCTGATGAATGAAGGATTGTGTTAAGATTCTGCTCTTAATGTTTAAAGGAACCCCCCCGGGTTTCTCGCTTCGAGTACTCCTTGAATTCATTGTATACCATGGCTCAGCTGGCCTATATAACCCGAGCAACGTATCTCGGGATGCATACCCCAATATATTGTCGCTAGGTGTGCATTGCCGATATTAGTATCTGTGTATAGAGGTACTAATGGAAAAGCCGGCTGCGATTGCAGCATAGGTAATGTTATCCATCGGCTCTCAAATGACTAAAGTCGAAGGGAGTCTCTATAAGGATGATGAACGGAGTCAGCTTCGGTTGTACTTGCTAGATTGATTAGTAAATAGATACGGCATTCTGCTCGTGGGGAAAGAGATGTTGCTTAAACTTATATAAAGGTTTCCTGTTGTCAAACCAAGGGCACTAATATAGTACGTAAAAACTGGATGTCAAGTCGAAGCTGGATGATTGACAAAATTCGAGGCATGGAACATGAGGGGACTTAATATGCCTAGTCTTTTCTAGACTTCGCTGCTCTGCCAGGATTACTTTGCAATCGGAGTTCTTCAGATAATAATCATTCTCTGACAAAAGTCAAGTGGCAGTGCGTGCTATAATCCAAGCCCCTGTCAAGAGGCGGCCGCCACGCATGTTAGTTTTCCAGACCTGGCGGCAGGTCAGTGGTGTCTAGCGTTAGCAACGCCCGCCACTCCATAGTAGCCCCTCTCATAGCTCACTCCTAGCAGTTGATTCATGCAGAGGCGTGTGTCAGACCAGCCATCGGATTCATATCGGCTAGTTATCGCATTCTGGTCGGAAAATGTTTGTTAGAGTTATCTTGGCCAAACCAGTAGAATGGCTGTACGAATGTAGAACCGTTAGCATATGTGGCAGGGAATGCCTCGAGAAACCAACAACTCGACTTAAACTGGTGCAAAAGTGCTAAAATATCTGGGGTGTCCCTCTTGCGGCCTTAACTACACGGCATCCACAAGGCGGGTGAACTCCCTCGAGGACATGCAAGGGCATACGATAGTCTGATGTACAGACAGGAACGACCGAGACATGTCTCAGCCTGACGTGGGGTATGTAAGAACCAAAGCGGATGTTAGTATTTGACAGCAAGGCATAGTGACGTGGTACCAGCAACACGTTGAGGCTGTGGGATATGCTTGTGCTGGTTGATGGGGAAGGTTTTCATGGTTGACCAGCCGCGCCATGAACCTTCCTTTCCCCAGTGGGATAGAAACGTGTCGAGCGGAGAATAGTGGATGTGACTCATAGCAATCAGTATGACAGCATCGATAGGATTTATTATTCCGCTCGACAGGTTTTTTTCCGTCCACGGGATATCCCGGGTTAACATGGATGGCGAAAGGGCGGGACGTGTGACATTTTATACGTGTGGCATGATGATGCTTATTATCTGGTGCAGTCGTTAGAACAGACCACCTGGTGTGAGTGTCTCCAAGGCTGTATCCGTGGACACTCTGGGGCCTTAGATGCACTAGCCTCTGGAGTATCCAGAAGCAGGAGAGACACGAGTACCCTCAGTGTACTGATAATGCTATTATCATGGGACATATATCACGAATACGTCGTGCTTGCCATGACATGCGCGTCGGATTTCGGTCCCACAGGAATTCCCAGTCATGGCATGGATCTGCAACCCTTGTATGGGGTCGTGGATTGCTGGGTCAGAAGGGAGGAGACCAGGAATGGTTGGAAATAATCCCCGCCCGACTCCCCACGAAATGAGACTTACGTTGTTTGGTGCTGTATTGCTTTTCCTGCTCGATTCATTCACTTAAAAAGAAAGGGGATTACTGTCCTGGAAACAAAGAACTAGCGGGGCCGGACTAGTTGATGTGCATGCAAGGCAAAAGAGTTGTATGTGGATGGCCGCTTGCAACGGTCCGCTTTGCCTCTTTGTCGTTCATATTATGGTCAACCGCGTATGTCTCGCAGTCAGTCGCAGCGTTCATCAATGATAAGGCCATTTTCTCAGAGTAGACTCGAGCTACACCACATACATACATGCATGCCGTGAGAATACCCCAATTGGCAATCCGTGATAAAGCAAAAATGGACGGCAAGGTGAGCGACAGAATAACAACCCCTGTCTTCCGCGGCCATTGAAAAGGCAGGGCGGATAAAACCTAATTCGTTGTGATTGTGTCCTACTGAGATGCAAGGGATACTCCAGAAGGCCCGCCGAGCTAAATCATTAGCCATGCGTGCTTCGACCACCTGAAGTCGGCATAGAGGGAGAAGCCGAGGAGTGTACTAAGTAATGGGACTTTCAAATACCTAGGCGGGAACATAGTCGATATTGGGATGTTCGGAGTGTTGCTGTGCCTACTGGGATGGAAGTAGTTGGCAAGATCGAACCCAAGGCCACTAAGGCATGCATCCGGGAAGGGATAGCACATCAGATGCAATATCCAGTAAGATGCAAGTTAGTAGCAATTGCGCGATACTGATAATGGTAGAGGTAGTTATCTGTTGGTATTAGGGCGTATGGTCGCTGCAGGGCTAATGTTGTCATGGTCATGCAAACGAGTTGATTGGAAGTCTGGGGGGCTTGCATGTATAATGAACATATTATGGTATTAGTAGTATGGGAACCTAGGATGATGATAAGCACTACTACAGTTGCAGTGGACAGTGGCTCATAGTAGTAAGACTCCTATTTCAACTACGCCTAGTGATGATCGCATTTATCATACAGTTTACCATCCCGCCCCTACATAGGGATAAATTAATGAATGATAGCGTAGGTAATTAATCAAAAGACCTCACCAAACCAATGTTACTGTTGGCGAGAATAAACTCTGATTCATCACCAGAAAACAAGCTAGTTTAGTGGATCCGATCGGTCGGGCTGGAGCGCAACTTAACCTTTACCGCAAATCTTCAATGGGAGCCGTGGCCCGTGATTATCCAAGGGACGGTCAAATGAGAATTCGGAACCTCTTGAATTCTCCCCAGATATGCTACCCCGCTTCGATAATCGTCAGCATCAGAAGAGTCTGGAAGCCAGTGGTGGTCAGTGGCCAACAGATGAGCCAAGCCATGTGACGGAGAGTTGGCCAGGAAGTCATGTCCGATGAGGCTGAGGTGGGAGCAAATACTTACTACTAGTAGTAAGTAAGTAATAGACAGACAATGACAGCTTCTCGGACGTTCCAAAGATATTCCAGACCATGGCTCCATCATCTCGCCGATGGGAGTATACGTGATTAACCAACAATTAAAGACCGATATAATGAAGAATAATCTATTACGCAACAGCGAGGGGTAGATTAGCATGTCAGAAAGGCGAGAGGGTTAGTTTTGTAGCGGTCAACCAGAGATGCCTGCTGTTGGGTGGATGTCTCCGATGTGGTTCGTGAAACCATGATTTTCCAAAAGAACGGGAGAGAGAGAGAGAGAGAGAGAGAGAGAGAGAGAAAAAGAGGAGGATCGGGGGGAGATTCCAGAGAGTCAGGGACGGTCGCATATCAGTGGATTGAAGTATATTTGTAGCGTAAGGTTATATCTAGTAGCTCACAGTGATGGCAGCGACCATCATTGGCAGGATGGGGGAATAAACCCAGACGCGATCAGAGAGGAAGAAAACAGCCCTAAGAGGAGAGGGAGGGGCCGCCTAGATTGAAGCCTAAAAAAGAAGCGGCGGGAACGAATTTGGGTGGCCCCAGATCCAGTTGCGTATCAGACGGGGCCTGGTGGGCAGAGCGATACGCCCGGTACCTGCCCAGCAGCGGCGATGGACGTACGCCCGCCAAGTACCTGAGCAGATCGACAGATCGTCTGGTATTGTCACCGCCGGTAAAGTTACCGATGGGCGCCAACAGAATCGGTCTTTTGCCGCAAGACACGCAGCATCTTTTTTCCAGCTTGACCTGCCCAGCTTATCTATCATCTCCAATCCTCACCTTCGAATCGATCCTGCGCCCTGCCAGAAAAGAGAGGTCCGTTGGTGATTTCTTCTTTTTCCTTTCTTCTGTCCTTGAAGCCCGCAGGTTTCCCTCCCTGTTTTCTTCATCTGGATTTTCTTCTTTCCCTCATCATATCCTCTTTTTTATTTTTTTCCCACCCCTCTCCTCATCTCCCTCCCTTGTCATTCTTCTCGCAAATCTGGGGGGCCTTTTGGGGTGCTTCTTTTTGTGCTACCAACTTTGGTCTTTTCTCTCACATTGACCAAACCAGACCCTTTTTTTCTTTTCCCTTTTTTCCTTAATTTGATTAAATAACCTTTTTTCTTCCCTTTCCCTGCTTGATTTCGACCGTCACTCTCAACAAACCTTTATTAAACTTTCTCCTCTTTTATATTTTTCTTTTTTATATTTTTTCTTTTCTAACCTCCTCATTTCATCATTTGATCGTTTTCTTCCCTCTCGCTCTGTCATCATTTTATCTCTGCTCTTCGGTCATTTATTGTCGTTCTTCCCTCCCTCCCTCCACCCTTCCAAACTTTCGCCATCCAGCGCCCAGTGGTGGAGGCCGAACCGAACCTGCGACAAAAGGATAAAAAGGCCTGACTGATCTGCTCGGAACCACTTCGGGTGTCATGCTTGCGCTTGTCTGTGTCACGGCTGAATTACATTAATGCTGGGCCTTGTCTCTCGTCCACATTCCCATCCTTCGACCTTCCACTAATCACGTCTTTTTTTTGCGCAACAAGCACATTCTCCGCCCATACCAACTGCACCCTCTCTCTAACCCTTTGTCCTTCCCCCTTGCCGCTGCGAATCGTCCGAGCTCCTAACGTCTCTGTCTGATTAAACGGATACCCCCCCCCGTGTCGGCTATCCCTCCCTTCTCCCAGAGGGCACATGAGGGCGATCTGCAAGATTCGAACTTCCTGGAGCATGCACGGAGCATAGTAACGTCGCAATACCTTCTGGCGATTTCGATCTACGGCTATTTGCTGGGCCGTGGGTGGACAAAGCGAAGCGCTTTTTATCAAGCTCTTGTCACCTTGCGTTGTTGACGGCCTCCCTCTCTCCTTCCTCCGCCTAGCATTTCTCGCCTGCCACGCTACTTCTCCCTTTCGTGCCCCCCCCTTCGATCCCTGTATAATTTGTACAGCGCCTGACCGCGTCTATTCTGGACCCAGTCCAAATCCTATTCTTCGGCAACGTCTTCGCTGCCGCCCTATCTCACTTCCATCCCTTTCCTTTGGTGTTGGCTTCTTCACTCCTTTGTAAGTCCACACCTCATCCAACCGTTCGCAACTGGCTTCAGGTGCTTTGATCTCCAATCTGATCGGATGGCTGACTCGTGCAGTTCGGTATTCACCAGTCACCTCGTGCCTCGATTCCCCCCCATCACGGGTCGTATAATTATCCGTATTACTTCAGCCTCATTGTCATCTAGTGTATCAAGACGATAGTGCACACAACGACGTCATATACTAGCCTTACAGTCGGCTACGATCGACTATTCATACGTCGAACATCTACGGAGTGGTTCATATCTACGGAGGAGGATTCAGTATGGCTTCCAACCAGAATACAGCTCATAATGTAGGTTTCGTTCGGACAAGTGGCAAGCGGACTGGCTCGTTGACTGCTATACAGGTTCGTTCAGGCCGGGCGGGGAATATGACTTCATCGGGGTTTAATGGTGAGAGGACGCGAGGAGCTCCCTCGAGCATGGGGACAGGCTTCGGTGGTGGAAATGGAAACTGGAATGGCAGTATCTGGGGAAGCGGTTTCGATGGTACGCAGCTAGTGGGACAGTTGTCTACTCGGGTGATTGCCGCTGACATGGACCTTACAGACCAGCACAGCGTGGAGAATGCTTTCGAGGGCAAAGCTGGGTCAAGTTCTTTACTGTCGTCTTCCGAATCTGATGGCTGGAATACCCGTCCTAACCTCCCATGGACTACGATCAACACATCGGCGGCAACCTTGTCGCGAGCCCCGAATAACGGCATGACTACATCTCCCGTACAAACACGGGCCAATGAGCGCAGCGCAGCTGGTCTTCCTGATGGTACCGACTCTTCCTCATATTTTGCCTTGCCCAAATCGGGGATTGGTTCAAGTGGCGGTGCTGGACATAAAGCTTACCTGAGCACCGGGTCTGACGGCATCTCACCGTCTGGCGAGGGCATGAGCCTTGGCAATTTCGGAATGAGAAACGGTGATAACAGGCGGCAGGTAAACACTTCTGCCTTTGGCGGAAGCCCTGTGGGATCTGGGTTTCCCGTCAAGGCAGGGTTTACAAGCCCATTAGACAATCAAAGATCTGATGACGTGACCACATCGTTGGGCATGTCCACCCTGCAGTCTGCTCTACCTGATTACATGACGCAGCACATTGGACGGAACTCATATTCCCACACTGCGCATAACTCGGCTTCCTTCGCGCCACAGCGACCATCGCACTCCACCTACCCGTCATTCCACTCCGAAAGCCAAGGCTACGAGGGGCGGTCCGGTAGTGGCTCCGTCGATCTTGGCTCTGGTCTCAACAAGCTGCAGCTGAATGAGGGCAATTTCTCGGGGCACCCGGCCCTTAACCGTCCAGCCTACTTACCACACAAATCGTATGATGCCAGTCTGACGCGATTGAAATATCACAACGGTAATGACGAGGGCGAATACCAACTTCCGCCCGGTTACGGTAATGAAGGTGTTCCACCAGAGCTACCCTTGGGATATCAGCCGAGCAGATCGCGGGTCCAGGACACAAATCCCATATCTCCCACTGAATATCGCATTGACAGCCCCTTTTACGCTCAGGATAATGGCGCACACTTTCGTACCGGTTCCGCAGGCCAGGTAACGGGCAATGTGGCTGCACTGCTGGAGCAGAAGCTACGAGCTGACCAGGAGCTTTCACAGCAAGCGGTCAATCCACTCCACAGGGTCCAAATGCCTGCTGCTTATGATCTTGCCGGTTATCAAGCACAGAGGCTCAATGCCCTCTCTTTTTACCACCCTGTCGCCCAGATTGGCGCAGCGGCTCTTGTCTCCCGGGGTCATCGTGACCATGATCCTTCACAAGTGGTGCGGAGTCCAGTGTTAGAGGAGTTTAGGGCTCAAAACAAGGGGAACAAGCGCTACGAGCTAAAGGTAAGTAACAGTCGGGTCTCGTTAAATTATTTTGCTAATTCCGTGATAGGATATCTATGGTCACATCGTAGAATTCAGTGGCGACCAGCACGGGTCGCGCTTCATCCAACAGAAACTAGAGACCGCCAACAGCGATGAGAAGGAACAGGTGTTCCGCGAGATTCAGTCCAACAGCTTGCAGTTGATGACGGATGTGTTCGGCAACTACGTTGTTCAGAAGCTCTTTGAACACGGAAATCAGACTCAGAAAAAGATTTTGGCAAACCAAATGAAGGGACACATTCTATCCCTGTCTACCCAAATGTACGGGTGCCGCGTGGTGCAAAAGGTAAGTGTCTTCTGCTCGTCTCTCAATACAAAAAAAATCTAATTCGCGACAGGCTTTGGAACACATCCTCACCGATCAGCAAGCATCAATGGTTAAAGAACTCGAGAACCATGTTCTTCGCTGTGTTCGGGACCAGAATGGAAATCATGTCATTCAGAAGGCCATCGAGAGAGTCCCATCGCAATACGTCCAATTTATCATCAATGCTTTCAAGGGCCAAGTTGAGCGACTGGCTACACACCCATACGGGTGCCGTGTCATCCAGCGCATGCTGGAGCATTGTGAGGAAGTTGACCGGGAGTCTATCTTGGGTGAACTGCATGCCTGCACGTCCAAATTGATCACAGATCAGTTTGGCAACTATGTCATTCAGCATGTCATTGAGAACGGCGAAGACAAAGATCGGTCTCGTATGATTGTGGTCGTCATGTCGCAACTCTTGACTTACTCCAAGCACAAGTTCGCTAGTAATGTGGTCGAGAAGAGCATCGAATATGGCGAGGAGTCTCAACGCCGGCAGATGATCAGCACGCTGACGAGCGTCAACGAGCGAGGGGACAGCTCTCTGATCAGCCTGATGCGTGATCAGTACGGCAACTATGTGATCCGTAAGTTGCATTCCAAACCGCCAATTTGGTATGCTTACTAACTTCCCTTGCAGAGAAGATCCTTGGGCAGCTGGACGACACGTCCGAAGAGAAGTACAGTCTGGCCGTACGCATCCAGCCGATGCTTGATCAATTGAAGAAGTTCAGTTATGGCAAGCAGATCGTGGCCATTGAAAAGTTGATTGGGGGGGTCGTGCCACCCTCCGGCGCTCCCCTGGCCCACGCAGCCACATCCACGACGCCTCCCAACTCGCACAAGTCCTCCCCCCAGCCTTCCAAAAGGGCTGTGAATGGTGTCGAGAACTGCCGTGCTCCTGTGGTTGGCGCCGCTCCGCCGACCCCGCCTCCCACCGATACGCAGAGCAATGCTGATGGCTCTTCGGAAACCAAGCATATGGCGAAAACCACGGTGACGCCCTTGGCGGAATGTGAGTCGGCCGATCCGGTCACCAGCGACTCAGTCGAAGTCACTGGAAGCACCTAGGCCTGTTACGTTCCGAACGTTATTCTTACTTCTTATGAATTATATCTTTATAACTGGTCACGCACATTCTCCCAACTTGCTCTTAATACTTGGGGATATACATATTGTGGGCGCGAAAGAGGTTTAGAAGCGCGGAGCTTCGTCATCTTCTTGCCCAACTTCATGGCTTTATGGCGCTACAACGAGGGTGACGGCGGAAACTGATGTCCTTTTGCTATTTTTACATTGCTTCCAATTTTCGCCTCAAGCCCTCTTTTCACTTCTTGATACTTTTTTTTCTACCTCTCTACCCATTTAATTGCTTGTCGATGTATTCCCCTTCTTCTGTTACTCTGAAGTTCGACGTGATGAAAATGAGGACACGCCTCCATAGCTTATCAATGTTTTCTGTTTCTCTTTGTCCACACACACACGAGGGGCCGGCGTCTTTATTGGTGAATAACGGGTTCATGGGACATCGCGCTTGATTTTCTTCGATGGGTTACAAAACGGGACCTTGGACATGGACATATGGGAGACCTGGAAATAGGGAGAATATAAGGGATGCCTAGAGTATGTAGAGGCCTTGCTGTCTCGGTATACAGACGATCAAAATGAAAAGCATTGCTGTTGCTGATCCAACACCCTTGAAATTATCGCAATTTAAGTATTGTAGAAGAACTGCATATCTAAGCGAACAGCAACTTAAAGCAATCTCGATCTCCTCTCACTCCCGCCTTATCACTTACCTATCACCACGTGACCCCAAGCTCTCTCCATCGCCGCATGACTCGCCGATCCAGACCTTCGCCTCTCCAGCAATAATAATATCCATTATCCTCAACCACCACTTCTACCCCAATAAACCAACACTCACTCGCTCAATACCCAACAGCCTCACCCCACCACACCCAAACCCCACAGAAACCAAACAAAGAACCGAGAAAGAAAAAGAAAGAAACAAAAAATGTCCTCCAACGTCGGCCTCTCCACCCCGCGAGGCAGCGGCACCTCGGGCTACGTGCAACGCAACTTCGCATTCATGAAACCCCGCAACGCCGGATACGGCGCGCCATACCCTCCCATCAGCGGCTCGAACTCCGCCGACCCCTCCGACAAGCCCTTCAAGCAGCGACAACCCGACAAGCAGATCCTGGAGCACGATCGCCGGCGCGCAATCGAAGTGAAAGTCATGGAGGAGCGGGAGAGATTGGAGGAGGAGAATGAGAGGATTGAGGAGGAACTTGAGTCGAAGCAGAAGAAGAAGCAAAAGAAGGGTGGTGATGATGATGATGATGTGAAGAAGGAAGAAGGGGAAGAGGAAGAGGAGGGTGAGAGGGTGTTGACGGAGGAGGAGATTGAGGAGAGGTGTGAGGCGTTGAGGAAGAAGTTGGTGAAGGAGATGGAGGAGGAGGATAAGGAGAGGGAACGTGGAGGAGGTGGGAATGGTGGTGGGAGACGCGGACGTAGGGCGTGGGATTTGCCGCCGAAGGAGAGACGCCAGTTTAAGAGTTATCAGGTGCATGAGTTGGCGGAGGCGAAGATTGAGGAGAGTGAGAGGTTGAGGAGGGCGTTGGGGATTAAGGAGGAGAAATAGGTGGGAATTTGGGAGATGGGTTATTTTCTTGAGTGTGGTTGAGATGGGTTTGATTGATTGCATTTGGGTGGTTTGTTTTTTTTTTTTTTTTTGTGTTCTTTTCTAAAGGTGTTAGTGGTTGGCATGGGTGCTGGTTCTATTTTATCATTATCATGACTACAGTACTGGGATAGCAGCTGATTATTGCATCATAATCATCATCACCACTTTTGTAATTGTAAGCGTCTGGTATATACATTATGCGACAAATTTTTCAATCACCCATCCCTCCTTCGCATCCTTCCTTTGGATGACCTTCTTGGCTGGTAACGGCCACCGTGATCCGCCGGCCTCACCCACCAGAGACGGGATCACCCAGCATGATCGCCGCTGAGGGATACCCTCGATCAACTCCGTCTTGCCGATGGGCTTGCCGTACTCGATCAGCGGTGTGCCGTGTGCCAGCGCAGAGAGCTGTAGTCCGCTAGGTGTGGCGAGGGGATACATCCGGATCTTAGGGGTCTGGTCTGCAGACACAATGGAGGGCGACGATTGCTGGAGATGCGAGTACACAATATACTGGGGCATTTCCTTAGCCGAGAGCTGCGCAATGACAGACGACGGGTGCACATAGACAGCCTTATCGTCAAGCTCCAAGCCGGGGCCGTCACGAGACCGCATCAGCGTGAAGTAGGGGACATCGATAGCTCGCTTGGGGGTACGGTGCATCTCAGGCGGGACGGGCGCAAGGTCCGCGCGGAGAGCAACATTGTCGATGAACCCAGCCGTGATGATCTGTTTGATGGCCTTGACCTGCTTTTCGGTCGGTTCGGGCAAGCGTGCCTGATAGGCCTGAACCAGGCCCGGGTTGTTGCTGCGCACGATGTCTGTCAGCTGGCGACGGAGCTGCGTGGCTTCCTTGAAGGCCTTTGCGCGCAGGAACATCTTTTCACAGAACGAATCTCCGTCGGAGGCGTATCCGTAGGCGCAAATCGCCGACAGGTACTTCAGCGCGTCGGAAGTATCATCGTGCTTGCTGAAGAGACGGTGCACCCGGGCGTAGTCCTTGTGGCGCTGCTCCCGGGCGGTGTCTTCGAGACGGTCCGAGTTCGTGTATACACCCTTGCCCTCGTTGTCGTCCTTGTTGGCTGGTACAGGATCGATCTGGTTCTCGGGAACAAACAGATCGCCTACTGCGAGGGCGGAAACAAGTGCGATGACGTACGGCATACAGCCGTGCTGGTGGCCAACGTACAGCATCTTGCCAAATCTGGGAGACAGAGGATACGTAGATAGGCGGTTACCTATTGGGGTGATCTGGCCTTCGGAGGTGAGTGCGCCCAGGTTCTTGAGAAGTTTCTCAGCCTTGGCAAGACCCTGACGGCTGGGTGGTGTCGGGAATGGGAAGTTGATAACATTGTGAAGTCCCATGCTCTTCATCTGAAGTACGACACCCTCGATCGGCGTCCGCAGAATCTCTGGGTCGGTGTATTCGGCGAATTCATTCTCGTAGATTGCCGAAGAGTATAGACGGTAGCAATGACCGGGTCCAGTTCTACCAGCACGTCCAGCTCGCTGATTGGCACTGGCCTTGCTGATCCATTCAATCTGGAATTTCTGGACGCCTGTTGCAAGATCGTACTGCTTCTCCTTTGCTCTGCCACAGTCAAACACGTACTTTATGCCCGGGATTGTAAGACTTGTCTCAGCCACGTTGGTGGCTAAGACAATAAGGCGGGAGCCTTCCGGCGGGGGTTCGAAAACCCTAAGTTGCTCCTTGGTAGGAAGCTGGGAGTACAATGGGAGCACGTGGACCCGAGTCGTCGAGCTCATGGCCTCTTCACCCAGATCAAACTCGTCTTCGTCTTCCTCGGGTTCATCCAACCCAGTGATTTCGAAATCGCTCTCGTCATCTTCCTGGTTGCCAGCAAGTGACAGGTCGGCACCGCCGATCTCGAGATCCTCTGCCTCAAGGGGTGCATCGTTGGCAGAGATTTGGACCTTGGCTTGAGTAGCTTCGCCACGCTGGGTGGGTTTGAAGGCCTGCTTCAAACGCTTGGACAGCTGACGGATCTCATTCTGTCCGGTCATGAACACAAGCATTCCACCCGGAGGTAGCTTGCGGTGACCCCTCGACACCTTGCGGAATGCCTCTTCGACATAATCGCGATGGGTACGTCGGGAGAAGTGTATGGTGACAGGGTACTGGCGACCTTGCGCCTGAACCAAGGGTGGCGGTCCTTGGCGGAAAAGGTTCGGGTTTTGCGTGAAATCGGAGATGCGCAGAGTGGCAGACATGACCACGAGCTTCAGAGGCTTGACAGACGGGTCTTCCTCCTGCATAGCCTTGCGCAAGTCGACAATGCGGCTGACCATTCCAATGAGAATATCGGTGTTGACGCTCCGTTCGTGGGCTTCATCAATCACGATGACTGAATACTTGCTGAGGGAGAAGTCTTCGGCAATCTCGCGAATGAGAATACCATCAGTCATGAACTTGATCGCGGTTTTGCTAGATGCTGTGCTCTCAAATCGAATTTGATAGGAGACTTGGTCGGAGAATTCGCCCAGTTCTTCGCCTACACGCTTCGCCATACTGACTGCTGCGACTCGGCGCGGTTGAGTCACTCCGATCATGCCTGGATTGGGGCTGTCCGGGTTACCATAGCCCGCTTCGAAGAGGAACTGGGGAAGCTGGGTTGTCTTTCCGGAACCGGTAGCTCCCCATATAACGATCGAGGAATTATTGTAGATTGCTTCCATGATCTTCTGTTCCTCGCCAACAACCGGCAGACCCAAGCGTGCATTTTGTATTTCCTCTGACCGGTTAACCTGAACACTAAAGGCTTTCCGGTTAGGATCACCTGTGGTGACCTGAAGTTCCAAGGGTAAGGGTTCTTCCTCGGCAACGGTATTCCTGACTGGCTTCTTGCGTTCCGGGATGAAGGGCTGCTCCTCGACGACTGGAACAGTGGTAGGCTTGAAACCGATGGCATCATTGATCTGTTGCCTGGCCCAAGATTTGAAGGCAGATTGTCGAGGTTGGCCCACTTTATGCTTCTCTTCCTCTTTGTCTTCCTCGTCTTCGTCTTCTTCGCTCTCTTCATCATCGTCTTCATCGTCCTCTTCTTCCTCGCCATCACTCTCGCTTCCCTCATCGCTTGAGCCATCGGAGGATGTTCCCTCCGAATCTTCATCTTCGCCCTCCTCAGACTTCTCGTCTTCATCTTGATCCTCATCCGAGCCAAAGCCTTCCCACGGTACTTCTGGCATCGTGATCGTTATCTCGGGTTTCTTCGAAACCTGCTTTCGCTTCTTGAGAACCGGGAATCCATCTGGACCGAGTTCCAGAGGGCGCTTTAACCCGATACCGATCGCTGGATTCTCTGCGGGTTTTTGCGCGGGGGCTTCAGATTTAGATGCGCTAACAGTGGTCTTCAATTGGGGCAACGAATCGTCCGAATCATCGTCCGAGAGGTCAAGGTCCTGATCAAGGCGGGAGTCGGGTTCCGCGGTTCTAGATACGGCTGGTACTTCATCTTGCCGCTTGCGCTTTCCTAATTCCCTAGAGCTCTGGAGAGACGAGGTATCAACCTTGGATTCCGCGAGCTTTTTTAGCAGCTCAAGATTCTCTTCTTTCTTTAGCTTGTTTTCCTGCACAGAGCGTTAGATACAACATTGGAGGATAGTTAATGTAGAGTCGCACGCACAATATACTTGTCCAAGCGCTTCTGCTTCTTGGAAGAAACCTGAGCATGCTGTGCTCGCAATTCTTCTTTTAGCTTCTGCCGCTTAGCCTCCTTCTCATCTTTGGAGACGGGCGCAAGTTCGGCAACATTGGTGTCTACCGGGGCGGTTGTTGCCTCCCTTTGCTTGTGCTTTTGCTTTCGCTGGCGGGGGACAAACTTGGGCATGATCACTAGAATTGACCCTTTGCCTTAACTGCAAGACAAAGTGAATCAGGTCCCAGAATGAAAGCAAAAGTGAACCGCGATAAGAGAGTGCCGTGAAAAAAATCAGGCGGCGGCCACATTCTGCCCGGAAAGCGGTGAGTATAGCCTCACCGCCTGGGGTGTACTTCACGGCCAGTCACCCCTCTTCACTCTCTCCTCTCCCTCTCCTGCCTCGTCGCGTTTCCCTCGTGTTTATTATAGTGTTACTGTTTATTCTTATTCTTTTTTCATCATCCTAAGAAGAGAACTTGTGCATTTTATTGCTTGTCAGAGTATCTCTCAACATTAATAACAACAAAAAACAACCATGGATAGTGCGCCTTTTGACATCAACCAACTCCAGGATCTAAACCTGCCCTACCCCGCAGTCACGAAGCAGGTTGTTGGAGATGTCAAGGGTATCCAGACAAATGTCACCTTGATCAAATTTAGTGACAGAATTTTAATCACAATCTCACAGAACGGCCGACTAGGACATTGGGTTAGTCAATAGTCATGCCATACTCTTCTCATCTCAACTAACCTACTTCAGCTTCACGTGCCACTTGAGAACAAAAACCCAGGAACAGAGGGCTTTCACACCATTTCTGAGCCTGCTGAGGACAGTCTTCTTCCTATTGGCAATTTGACTGCCACGTCACTGCTCGGTGGCCGGGCTCCTGGACATGAGGTAGTTGGTCAGCTTTATGCTCGTCAAATCGCCAGTGCCATTGTCACCAAGACGCCCAATGAGAAACGTATGCTCGTTTTGGGCCTTGGGCTTGAAACTGCCGACGCGGATAGAGATGTCTTCTTTGCCGTCATTGACCTCGTGCTGCAATGCATCTAACGAGCCAATAAGATGGCCCAATGACATGACCAACACTATGCTAGGAACTTCCACTTACCGAACTATATCCTCAACATCACTCCCACGTCGCATGAGTTGCACGCACGGGTCCTGCCTCGCGAGTATTAGGTTGGTGAGACGTTTTCGTTCCATCCTAGTGAAGCCCACGAATATCAGTCTCCCAAGGACCTCGAAAGCTCCACTGAACAAAGCCTGGATCAAATCGTTCTCGTCAAACCTGGGGATTTTCCAATTTTCAGTGACAGCGACGGTCAAATCATGGACACGCAATGGTCCCTCCATTCTCAAGGTGGTAATGAAGAGCGAAAACCCCCAGCGACATCGAACTGCCGCTTCATGGTTCTTGTCACCAAGTGAGAGCACAAGCGAACCAAACGTTCTTTCTTTGTCGCACTCAATATCGAGACAAATGAATCCTCGGCGCTTATAAATGCATCGATCCAGCTTAAGGGGGACACTTTTGAGGTAATGCACAGTGGACCCTCCGTACTCCTTGAGGATAAGCCTGCTGGATGGAAGCGAATAGAAAAAGACCAGCAAGGCTTCATGGAAGATCTGATGTGAAGTCAGGAGGATAGCGAGGCCCGTGGTTGTCTGTGCGAATTTCTCTAGCTCCACGGTGCTCCAGTAGTGCGGGAATAGGCATTCCCATATTTTCAGTCTGACTTCCAGGGGGAGACGGTACAGGAGACACTTCGACATCGGCTGCGTGTCAAACTGGGCTACTTTCAGCATTTTTGTGATCCCTTCATCGACTACGTCACGGTACTTCGGCTGCTTGTCATGTTCTTCGAAATCACTAATAAGCCCTGTTTCTTTGTCGTACAATGGCTTGACAAAACGAATTACTGGTCTTGACGGCGTCCGATGTTAGCAGCAAATTGAGTTCGGGGTTGATCAACACGCTGAACACGACTTACCCACGATTGCTGGGATCATGGCGGTTATGCTCTTGCACCAGACTCTGATGCAGGCCTTGGCTTTCAAAGATTCCTGATGGAGCCACTCCAGCCATGTCATCGAGACGAAGATGCGCGGAATGTTTGGAGATGGGGTTCGATTTTAGATTAAGCAGCAAACTTGGGTCAAGGCTAGTTGCAAGGATGGGCAGAAAAGGGGGATAGTCTGTGATAGTCGGGAAAACCATGACCTGGAGCAGCTGTGCATGGCCAACTGTTTGCATGGTCTCATTAGCCAAACGCAATCAAAACACAAGTTGCTAGTAGTGAATGATTACATTGTAGCAACATACTTGACACGCTGAGTTGTAGACCCAGTACTTACAGCTATCAGTACATGCCCATCTTTTCTCCCTTTCGAGTCCCAGATGGAGACATTTGGCATCCTTCTGCCTATATGGTGCATTGGGGTTCAACTGGTGCTCTCCAGCTCAGCCCGTCTCGATCACGTGCCGACTGCCAGGATCCCAGGGTGTGAAGTGAACCTGCACTCCCTCACTCCTAACAACTTCCTCCAAATCCATTCAACCTTCTTGTTTCTCAAATGTGATATTCCTTACTGAATTCTGAGATCATTTGTTTGATGAAATTAGTGTTGCGCTTGTTTAGCTGCGCTGGAGCATCTTCAGCATCGGCCTTGTAAACAGACAGCCTCCGGTACAAACCACCATAAGGCCTGTCTTTCTTTCCGCTGCTTGTTACCGACTCACCCTCTCTTAGTATCACTATCCTTCTATCCTCTCATTTAATATTCTCCTCTAACTGTTCACATTTGCTGTCACTGAAAAATTACTAAATATGGCGCCAAATGAAGAGGGACGCCAATTTGAGACGTTTGATCTTGACTCTGAACCTGACCAGCGTCGCAACGCCGAGAGACAGGTCGTGGATCTCACAGCAGAGTCAGATTCAGATGAAGTTATACCCGTCTTTCCGAAGTCGCAATCCGTAATTGGATCCGACACGGATGACGAAGCTGGTGATGACGATGAATATGATGAAGACCTGAAGAGAGCTATTGCGCTCTCGTTGCAAGAAGCTGAAGGAGGCCCGCATAACGCCTCCAGTCACTTACATATTAGCGACTCTGAGAAAGGAGTGAGCCAGAACACTAGATCCCCCTCAGTAAAAGAGGTCGAAGGGAAGGCGAACGACCATGAACCTGCTAAGTCCATGGGTGTCCTTGGTCTCGATCGAAAGCAGATGGAGCAAGAGCGTCTCGCACGACTTGCTAAAAGAAAGGCTGAGGATACTAGCTCTATTGATCACCGTGAAGCTAAGCAATCGAAGATCGACTCAGCCCCAAGGGCTAGTGTCCAACCCACCATGGCTGCTGGGGGTACGATTATGTCCAAGTCCCAGCCTACAAGCTCTAGGTCCATCCCATCTACCTCACCGTCGACTCAATATCCAGAGGGTGCTGTCAAAAAGACATGGGCCTTTGGATATCCTCGGCAAGGGGACGATATCAAGATCGAAGAGGTCTTGCAGAAGGCTGATCTAGAGCTTGCTGTTATGAGTTCATTCATGTGGGAGATGGAATGGCTGTTCAGTAAATTTAACATTGAGAAAACCCGTTTTATTCTGGTTATGCAGGCTGAGGATGATGCTACAGTGAGTATTTCCATCGTCCCTTGCATGCTGGAATCGAGTCTTTGTCTAGAACAAGCTAACCACTAGAGAAGAAACGTCAGTACGAATCAGAGACGGCGACCATGCGGAATTTGCGGTTATGCTTCCCACCAATGGGTGGGCAGGTCGTTTGCATGCACTCGAAGTTGATGTTGCTCTTCCACCCTGAATATCTTCGCCTGGTGGTACCGACTGCCAACCTAACCCCATATGACTGGGGTGAGATGAACGGAGTCATGGAGAATGTAATAGGCACAAGAGCGTCAACCTCTGGTGAATCCCTGCTGACACACCTGTAGAGCGTCTTTCTTATTGACCTTCCGAAAAAGAATGTCCTGGAGAAGCCTACGACTCATTTCTATGAAGACCTTGTGGTTTTCCTTAAAGCCAGTACTCTTCATGAGAATATCATTGCTAAGCTCGATAATTTTGACTTTAGCAAAACATCGAAATATGCCTTTGTCCATACTATGTGAGTTTCCTTTCGCTAACACTAACCGCATTGATTATGTCTAACAGTCCCAGTGGTGGCTCTCACACAGATACAGCGTGGAAACGAACAGGCTACTGCGGCCTAGGTCGTGCAGTGGAAAGGCTGAACCTTTGTACATCCATACCACTCAATATTGACTACATCGTGAGCACATACTTTCTACCCATAAACATCTACTACATGCTCACAATTAAAAGGCCTCCTCCGTTGGCGCTATAACGGACCAATTTCTCCGCTGCATGTACCTCGCTTCACAAGGTACACAGACTCCCATATCCCCTGCCCCTACCCCCATAGACCCGGAAACTGACACCTGGACCTCCCAAACCCAAAGGTGACGACGGCCTTACCGAATTCAGCATCCGCTACGCCAAAACCTTCCCAGTCCCTCGACGCGACAATCCTTCCAAACTCCTCAAGAAAGACACAGGCTCCGAATGGAGTGACCGATTCCGTCTCTATTTCCCATCCCAGAACACAGTCGCAACGTCAAAAGGGGGTCCCCGCTGCGCAGGCACCGTCTGCTTCCAGTCAAAATGGTACAACGGCGAGAACTTCCCACGGCATATACTCCGCGACTGTGAAAGTCAAAGAAAGGGCTTGTTAATGCATAACAAGGTACTTATATCACCCCCCTTCCTTTCCCTCCAGGATAAGGTCCTCACATCACTCAACGATAGATCCTCTACGTCCGCCCCGACGACCCCATCCCTTTATCAGAAACAACCCAATGCCGCGCATGGGCTTACATCGGAAGTGCCAATATGTCCGAAAGTGCCTGGTGCGTGTTCTACTCAATGACTGCCTCCCCAAAACCCAACACTCTAGTTCACTAACCCAACTCACCTCTCTTCCACAGGGGCCGCCTCGTTCAAGACCGCTCAACAAAATCCCCCAAGCTCAACTGCCGAAACTGGGAATGCGGCGTAATAGTCCCCGTTATTGAAGACAGGACGGATAGCTCAGATTTGAAGGATAAGATACACGAAGATAAATGCAAAGGCAAAGCCTCTGAATTTTCTTCGTTATCATCATCGGATAATGACGACGGGGCAAATCTCCCGGTTGTATTCGAGAATACTATTCCAGTTCCGATGCGTGTTCCCGGGGCGAGGTATGGAGGGGGGAGGAAGCCTTGGTATTTTGCGGAGAGTCAGTCTTGATGTTGGTTTTCTGTCGGAGTGGAAGTGACAGTTAAGGGAAGGTGTGAGTGGTTTGTGATACTACTAGTCTGGATGTTATTTCTTGGAAGGGGTAGGGAGTTTGTGATATTTGTGGGTAGATGTATGTGCAAAGATACAGACAGATACTTGTCTTGGTAGATAAGTAAGAAATATCTGACCAATCTGAAGATACAAAGTTGCTGCTACTTACTACTAGGAGGATATCAATGAAATATATATATGTCGGATGATATGCATTATGTACCTATTATGGGGATAAAATATAAACCCAAGAAAGAAACAAACAAGAAAAGGCTGACAAAAAAAGCCAAGCCACCCAACAAACACACACGCTGATGCATCTCTATCTATCTGCATGATAACGTAAACCAGAAAAAGGGGGTAAAAAATTCCCGAACCGATATGCTTTTCTCTATCTTCCTCCTGTTTCATCTCGTATCTCAGGCCACATAGGCCTTGTATATATTTGACTGTATATGTGTGTCTGGTAGTGATATGTGTTTTATTTTAGTTTTTGTTTTTGTTTATCCCATGATTATCATCAGGAGATAACTCACGCACCAGCATCTATTAGCATAGATGAATGGGCTGTGGTTGTAGAGACAGTGGCAAGAGCCTTAGTTCTGAGCCTTGGGGGATCTCACAAACAGCTTCTTGATGCTGCCGAACAGCATACCCAGCACAGTGAAGACGTATCCAAGTCCAAAGGACCAGCCGCGCACGCGCACGCAGTAGATCATGAAGTAGACCAGGAACCAATTAATGATCACATAGGCCAGGAAGATACCGAAGCAGCGCCACTTGTCGCCATCGTGCACATTGAGGGTGTGCATGTACTGGGAGCCGTTGGCGTAAGGGCAGTACTGGCAATCCGAAGAGGCGTTGGGGTTGGAGAGATAGCCGACGCCAGCACTCGAAACCCAGTCGCCGGCGTACTGAGAGCAGGTTTGGCCGGGGGGAGGGTTGAAGTGAGTGGTTTCCGAGGACGCACATTCGATGTCAACTGTGGGGAAGACGCTCGAGATGACACCACGGAGCCACCAGGTGACCGGGTTGACGTAGTACATCCAGTACTTCCAGAACACAGGGTACGCGGAGTAAGGACGGACAACACCGTTGAACAAGCCGGTCATGACGAAGAAGAAGGGAAGGGTCTGGTGAACATGTCAGCTGGGTTTGCTTCTGTTGATTTGACACGCAGAATAACTCACGTTGGAAATGACGGTGAAGGACGGAGCAAAGGCACAGATCCATTGACCCCAGCTGGCTTGGAACAGGAAGAAAAGCACGGACATGAGGAAGACATATCCGGCATTACTCGAATCCGTAGGGAAACCAGCCGGGTAGTACCACAGCAACCAGTAGATCAGTCCGGAGATGATAGCCATCGGAATTTCACAGATGATGTTCGCCGTGCAGAATGCGACCCAGCCGTAAATACGACTGGGGTACTCACGTGCTTCCCAAAGTGCCCGATTGATATAAAACTTGGGAACCAGACTGTTCAGGACGATAGGCGGAAGAAGGATGATCAAGAAGATCGAGAACATGCGGTCCTGCATGCTCGAAATGGTGTTTCCAAGCATCCAGAAGGTCTACATGAGAATTAGCTGAGTGTACGCGAGGAGAGTTAAAGTCGAGGGTACTTACAAAACCGTTGAAGATACCAATGATGACACTGACGAAAAGCTTTCCATAGTAGTAGGAGGGATCTCTCCAGTACTGTCTGAAAAGTCTCATCATGAGGAGGTAGGTCTGGGTGGTAACAGGAGCAGCAAATTCATACGGCACGCCCTGCTCATCAAGCGGAATCTTGCTGCGCTCTTCTCTGATTGTCTTGATCTCATCCAGAATCTTCTGGTTCTGCTCCGAGTTCCTCCATTCTTCGTTCCAGTCAAAGCTCTTGCCATCCTTCTTGGTCGCCTTAGCCGCCGTCTCAAGAATGAACTCTGCGACGTTCTTCGAAGGGGGGCAGACAACACCACGGTCGGCGAAGTACTTGATAACATCGCGTCCCTCGTGACCGACCGGGCCGAAGTAGAAGGTGTTACCGCCAGGGTTCAGAGCCAAGATCATGTCAAACTGTTGGATCAACATGGACGAGGGCTGGTGGATGGTACACACGATAGCCTGTCCGGCTTGAGAAAGCTTCTTCAAAAATCTCACGATGGAAAAGGCCGCTTGACTGTCCAGACCGCTAGTGGGCTCATCGAGGAAGAGGAGAAGATTGGGCTTGGCAGCCAGCTCGACACCGATGGTGACACGCTTCTTCTGCTCGACGTTGAGGGAGCCAATGATGGCATCCTGAATTTCCTCAAGCTCCAGAAGGTCGATAATCTGGTTGACATAGGCAAGCTTTTCCTCATCCGGAGTATTTCTGTCCTGACGAAGCAGCGCAGAGAATTCGAGAGCTTCGCGAATCGTAGCGGTGTTGTCATGGAGATCCATCTGCTCACAGAAGCCGGTGCCTCGCTGGAAGTCGGTGCCCAGAGGATGACCATCAACAAGCATATCGCCAGTCACCACACCCATCTTCTGACGCTGAGCGAGAGTGTTCAGGAGCGTAGTCTTACCAGCTCCGGAAGCACCCATCAAGGCGATCATGAGTCCGGGTTTAGCATAGCCATTGACACCATTCAGAAGCTTCCTTGTGCCATTGCCGTAGGGAACCGTATATTCAACGTTGGACCAGGTGAACACGCGATCGCTAGATGAGATGCGGTTGAACGTCTCGCTGTTGCTGTTGGACTGGGCCTGGACTCCAGCACCCTGGGTCTTCTCTTCGTCACTTCCCTTGCCGCTCTGTGCCGTGAGCTGTTTAGCACGCTTGGAGCGCTTGAACACCAAGGCGCCGCCACCACCACCGACGAACGAGAGGAACTCGGCAGCAAAAACGGTCACCAGGATGTAGAGCACAGTAAAGGCGATGACCACACCGAAGTTACGCCACATGTGATGGCGAGTGAACTGGTAGGCCGTCTCGATGTAGTTGGAACCCGAAACCTGCGTCTGCCCGAGCTGAGAGCCCGTGAGAGAGCATCCCTGGTATCTGGGATCCAAGTCAGAACCTTGAGGAACCAGCATCGATGGGGCGCAGTCCATGAGGCGGCCGGCAAACTCGTTGGAAAGAACGGCTTCGTAACTGTAAGACAACGGGTTCACGTAGAAGAGCCATCCAAACCAGATCGAACCATCGATAAGAGACTGTTTGGGAATGACATAGCCAACAAACAGGATCAACACATTAAGCGCAATACCACTGAACCGGACGGCGTCGTCAATCGATGGCGAAAGCGCAGCGAACATGCGATACATGGCCGTGATACAAAACGTTGTGGTATACACGAAAAGGAAGTAGATCCAGTACTTGGAAGCGGTCACGTCGAGCCCAGCCATAAAGTAAACGATGATAGTGAAGGGGACGACCATGCAGAAGATGGCCGGGAAGTCCACGACCACACGAGCGATGGAAACAGCCGACGGACGGTAGAAGGCGTAATCCTTGTGACGGGCAACAATGCCACGACCACTGACCGCGGGCATCAGTTCCGTCAACTGCAACCAACCCAGGAACAGAATCGAGAAGAACAGAGCACCACCACGAGAGAAGGCACCACTGGTATTCAACGATTCACCATAAAACAAGGACGAAACAATCAGAGCGTTGGACAGGATAATAAAGTACTTGGTGTAGAGCGAGGTCTTGTCACCCCAGAGCAGCCAGAACTCACGACGCACACAGGCGGCGACCTGGCGGACCAGAGAAACGGTGTACGGCGACTTCTTGGACACGGTCTTACTCTTCGACTCGGCGACCGACTTCTGAAAGCGACGGGTACTCTCCTGGTTGGTGTCATGAAGCTGCTTCTCATAGCCGGAAACATCGTCCAGGATACGCTGGTAGGCGCTGCTTTGTCTGAAGACTGACTCGAGCTCTTCCGGGGTCTTCGGAGTCGAAGCTTCCCGGCCGGGCTGGAATTGACGGGCGTTCGGATCGCAGAGGGAGGTCAAGAAATCGGCCGTGGTCGACTGTTCGGGGCAGTAGAAACCAAGGTTCACGAAGTACTGTCTCGCCTCGTTGGCGGGCCCTTGGTAGAGCATGCGTCCCTGGTCGATCACCATTACCTTGTCCATGAGTTCGTAGATGCTCTCACCGGCTTGGTACAAAGTGACGAGCGTGGTCCGCTTGCTGATGTCGGTCATGATGCGCAGGGACTTGGCGTAATCCAGGGCGGTGCTGGCGTCGAGGCCTCTAGTGGAGTTATCCCAGCAGACGACAGAGGACTTGGTGGCCAGGGTTTCCGCGATACTGACACGCTTCCGCTCTCCACCGGACACACCGCGGACATACTCATTGCCGACCACGGTGTTCTTGGTGTGCGAAATACCGAACATCTTCAACAGAGCATCGATGATGATGGGGATACTCGCCTTGTCGTGCTTCTTGGTCTTGTTGATGAGGGAGAACTTGAGCGTCTGCCAAACAGTAAGGTTGGGGAAGTGCTGGTCATCTTCCTGGTTGTAGTTGACCTCACCACGGAAGTGCTTGTGCTGCTCCTCCGCGGACATACCGCCGTAGCTGATCTCACCCTCGACGCCGGCGAAGGCTTCTCTGTCGTTGGCGATGGTCTTCAGGAAGGTTGAGCAACCTGCACCAGGTCTTCCCAGCACCAGCATCATCTCACCCTCCCGCACGGCACCAGTGAAGTCGTGAAGCAAGTCTCGCACGGGAGGCTTGCGGCCAAAGCGGAGTTGGGGGGCGAACCTGCAGATAATGTTGTAGAGATCGGGTCCAAAGGTACCGATGACGGCGTCCGGAAGGGTACGAACAAAAGAAGCACCAGTCTCGACACCCTTGACGGTGACACCTTTGAACACCACACCCACCTTCTTGGCGGGTTCGCCTGCGGTCGTCCGGCGTTCGAGATGGCCGCCCATCAAGAACTCGCTGAGGTCGAAACCACCATAACCGCTGTCCGTGGTACCGGACAAGTCGTCGTCATCGTCATCCATAGCCTTCTCCTCATCGCGAGCCTGGCTGGCGCGCGAGCGCAAACGCTGGGCTTCTCGGGTAGCGGAACGGGTCTGGTGCAGACTGAGGCGGGTCAATTCCTTGCGCATTTCCTCGAAATCCTCCATGGCGCCGCGACGGGAGACGGGCTCCTCTTCCTGTTCTCCCCAACGGCCATCAGCAGA